CCCAAGTTAGGTGTCTTATTGGGCTAGAAATATATTTGGGCCCAGCCTTGGATTTTTTAGGCCTCAACAAACCCAAACACCACAGACTCATGCCCAAGGCCATTTGAGGAAATTCCATAGCCATTCTTCGGCCAAGCAGACAAGCTTGGCTTAGCAGTCAAGCTCGTCTAAATGGACAGAGTCAGCTCAACGAGCTGTTTTAGCCTGATAGGCAGAGTTGCCCCAGCAGACATGCTCGGCCTAATAAACAGGCTCGACCCAACTGTCAGGTTCATCCCAGCAGACAGATCCAAACTCATCCCAAGATAGGTTCTTGGGTTTTCAAGCCTTAGTTGATATAGACCCGACCACGACCCAAATTACACCCTGTCCTTCAACTGAGAGATAACATATTCACATGGCTTCACGTGGCCATCACCTTGGGATGATGAAAAAGGACGACACACTGAGTGAAACCTGGAATAGGCTTTTCTGGAAAAGCGACGCACCAAGGAGGACATGGAACGTGTTTTCTGGAAAAGGGGAAGACTTTCCACGTCAGGACAAGCACACATTTCTGAATCTGTTAGTGGAGCTACAAGAAGTCATCATTAAGGATAAAACAACAAAGGCTATTATTCCTGACATCTGTCCAAAGTCCCTAACATCCTCCAATCATATTAGGATGAAGGGATGAAAACTCGACCTCGGCCATCAACAGTACTCGGCCAAGGGTAAGGCTCTGACATGTCCACTATCTCCAGATTGTCAACCACTTAAGCCATTTGAAATAAACAAATCCAGAGCTAATTGTCCAAGGGACCTCTACCGAAAGAAGAAAGCAGATGCAGCCCCTCAGATCATGACTTCACCAACATAAGCTTCATCTTCTCACTACAAATACAAGACCCTCAACAACATTCAAAGGGTCCCCGACCAAACAAGCCTCTCACGGAGCAACTTATCCTTTCCTGTCATTTATCTTTCCGTAATGCACTTTTAATATCTTTAAATACTTTCCTAGGAGTAATGGTAAAGTTAAGTTCTTTCATCCATCAATATGTCATACAACCCTTGATTTTCAAGGCGTCGAAGAACAATTCATGTTACTTTTTCATCCACCACATATATCATACAGCCTTTACAATCTAGCGAGGCAATGGAGCACCATCCAAATCCATCGACCGTCTTCCACCATCGACCCCAATCAACGGCCTTGTAGCTCAGGCTGTGAACCTGACGGCCAAGAATTGTTCCTCTCTCGACCACGATCGCTTTGCGCGAAGTCAGATCCAAACAGGCGCACTCAATTAATCCATTCATCTATTCACATCATCTTCCAATGCACGGTAGACCATGCTGGCACGCCCGAGTACACCCATCCAACACAAAGTAGGATGACCTGTGTTAAAGCATATCCCCTCGGCCCGGAGCACTATGTCATAAGATTTTGCTCCGCTAACACCTTGTAGGCAGAACATTAGATAGAATTACGTATAATTTCCCTACGTCAATGGGGGGAAAATATAACCTTGCTAGTCAACGCTTCATTTTGCTTCTTCAAGGTAAAACTAGGAATATACAGAACAAAGATACTTAGCATTCACTGAATACTACAACTTTAGAAATATGTGGAGAGGAAAAGAAGAAAAAGAGAAAACAAAATAATGCCAAGCACACAACTCAACTATCATCATATTTATCTTGACATAATAAGATATAATAGAAATGCAAAATATAGGCAAAGAATAAGTCATAGAAGACAACTTGAAGCCAATTGTGGAAACCAAAATCTCTTTTTCACCACATTGCTTAATTTCTCCAACAAAAACGTGTTCAAAAGTAGAGGAGGAATCAGATGTACTACCACTATCATAAAGACCAAACCAGATAGAATTCCATTGCGTGAGAGATATTTAATGGGAGCAGTTTTGCTGATTTCTTCTATGAATGCAGCATGCCCTTTCTTTTCCACAAAGGTGATAACTTCTTTGCACCTCTAATTTGGGTTGCAATGATCTAAAAGAGAACATAAACGAGAAAAAGTAGGCCTACCCGATCCAATATCGGGCCGGGTTCAGGGATAGGGATGCCAATACCATCCCCGCCCCATACACGACCAGTATTTTTTAAATTCGGGGATACCCATACCCGATCCTCGTTTTGCCCCGAAATCTACCCTCGTTAGGGCCGAGGACTTGACGGGGATTTTTGCCATACTTAGGTGTAAATTTGGGGATTGATGTTTTTGGCTACTTCTAAGCACCACAACCTAAACCCGCCTTATTGAGCACATTGACATGAATGGAGAATATATCTAACCTTCCAATAGTAAACTAACCAAAATCTCAAACTAAAACCCAATCAAACACGACCAAATCAATCTTAAGCTAAAGAATTTCAAAACCAATTGAACTAGGACAAAGCCTTAATTGTCATTTGTCATGTTGAACTAAGGAACTATTAAATAGAAATATGAAAGGAGCCCGGACAAACAAAAGAGGTCAAATGAAGAAGATATTTTGAATGAATGCTTAGGGTTCTTAGAGCCTAAATAAACATCATTTGTTTCTCTATAAAGTTGGAATTGGACACATTTTGGCAATTTGCAAGTGCAAATCCGGGATGTGAAAGTTGAAATTGCTCATTTGCAGGCTAATGTTCCTTCTCCCATGTATTTGTCCAACCTTTAACTTTTACAGTCTCGTTTGGATCTCTTTTTGGAATAGAAGGAGATGATGTGGCGATAACACCCTTGAGTGACCTAGTTGCAGCGAGGGCATAACAACACATGTTTTTCCTAATGGGGATTTTTGAGTGCTCCTTTGGGAAATTCTCCTTCACTTATTTGGAGGTCTTTACTTTGGGGTCAAGAGTTATTGGCTGCTGATCTTTGCTGGAAAGTAGGAGATGGTTTATCAATTAAGATTTATCGAGATCCTTGGCTGCCTCTGCCATCCTCTTTTCGGCCTTCTTCACCTCATTTTTTTGGGGATGATACTACTGTTCATTTCTTATTTGGTCCAGATGGTTGTTGGACTTACTTGTTGTAGTCTTTTCTGAAGAAGATGTAGCTGCTATTTTATCAATTCCTTTTATTCATAATTCATCGGATAAACTTATTTGGCATTACACTGTGAATGGGAAGTATAGTGTCAAGAGTGGTTATTGGTTATCTCAATGTTTGGTTTCGTTATGGCTGGGAGGTGTGAATGGGTCTAGTAATTCGGTGGATTTGTTGTGGTCTTCTATTTGGTCTTTACACATCCCTAATAAATTGAAGGTGCTTTTATGGAGAGCAGTATATGATATTCTTCCATGCAAGGTGAGTCTTTTTAAGCGCCATATTGTTCTTGATTCTCTTTGTTTTCGGTGTTCTCAGCAACTTCAAAGTCCAATACATGCTCTTTGATTTTGTCGGTTGTTACGGGGGGTTTGGCATTATTCACCTTTTCAAGACTTGTTTATTCCTATACAGGTTGATACTTTTAAGGAGTTCTACCGATATGTTTATTTGATTTTACAAATGACGAGTTGGTCTTCTTTATTTTTTCCAGTTGGGGATTATGGTGTTCTCGTAATGATCTTTTTCATTCTGGTTGGAGTACTTCACTTCTTTGTCTTTTGGCTCATACCCGAGAGCTTGTTTTGGAATACCAACGGGCTATTACTTTAAATTTTTCTCATGTTCCAGAAACTGGTGTTGTACGGCGTTGGTCTCCACCTAATGGTACTTTCGTGAAGTTAAATGTCTATGGAGCTATCAATTTTTTGTTTGGTTTTAGGGGTTTGGGGGTTGTTATTCGAGATGGTATGGGTGATTTATTGTTGGCTGTCTCTAAAGGTCTTCATGGCATGTTCTCTCCTAAAGCAATTGAAATTTATGCTGCAATCTTGGGCTTGAAGATTGCAAGTCCAATGAGGCATCACACTTTAATTTAGAAAAAAAAAAAGTGAAAAGTGTCAATATATTATTTGATGAAAAATGTGGAATTGGAAGTGGGAATGCAAGAAGATATAGACTTAGCCAAGTTGGCTAAAGCAGATGTGATCCTCATTCTGCACCGAGTTCAAATCCTAATTTCCATAATTTAGATTAGATTAAAATAGAATATCGTTTGTATAAACAAAATAAAATAAAAGTGGAAATGCAAATAAAAATGGGACATCAAACAGAGGCAACTTTGTTGAAACGATAAATCTCAAGCATTCATGCCCATCTTCTTGTTCATTTTACAGGCTTATGGGATACGCATCTTGTCGTTCATTTAGGACAAGAGTTGACATTGGAAGCTTAACCCGAATTCCACTTTGATATATTACTATTTTATACTTGTCCATTACACAAAACCAAATAAGTAGACTTGGACCTTGTCACCAAATGATCAATACCCAACACCAACATTCAAAAAGACATTATTTATTTCCAACCAAGAGTCCTCCCTAACACTAGAATTGACCGGAGAAATATAAATTTTCATAGAGATGAGCTAAAAGAATTACGTTTTCTTTTCTTTTTTGATGAAAAAAGGGGAGTTACACCCCAAAAGCAAACTAGACAGATTCAGAACAAATCAAACAAGTTCGAGACACCTCTAACACATCATTAGCCAACAAGGAAGCTACCCAACTAGGAGCAACATCATAAAATTATGTTTTCTTTTCTTTAGTTATAGTGTTAAAGAGTGAATTAATCTATTTTCAATTATTAAAAAAGATTTAGTGTTGGATAAGAATTTGAACTATTCTCGATCATATCTTAATATTTAACACTTATCAACAAATGTAAAAATATTTTCAGTGCAAAAAGGATTAGTTTCCTAAATTGTAAGCAACCAAAATAAAAACAATTGTAGAAGGAAAACAAATAATTAGAAAGAAAAAGAAAAATATTTAACACTTATCACCGTCATTAATCGAATAACGCGTATAAAAATCCAACGGCGTTAAAATACGGCGTGAGAGTTCCAACCATACCCGTCTGTCATTTTAGCGAAACCGCTGAAAAAGCCAACTCTCGATATGTTTCTTGTTTAATTAATTCTTATCCACCAACCACAAGAAACCAAACCAACCCGCATACTTTTAACAATTTTTCTCTCCTCCCCTCCCAATTTTCCAGAGAAAATTCCTCACCGAGAAAGTGAGAGAGAGAGAGAGAGAGAGAGAGAGAGAAAATGAACAAGATGCACGGATACACGGAGGTGGGCACGAACAGCGGCAAGGGAGTGGAGGTAGACATAGAGTCAGGGGAGACCTTGTACCCAGGGCTAAGCAAAGGCGAGAACCAGCTACGATGGGGTTTCATTCGCAAGGTCTATGGAATCTTAGCCGCTCAGATCGTTTTGACCACTCTCATCTCCTTCGTCACCGTTCTCTATGCTCCGATCAACGATCTCCTCAAGGGCAGCCCTGGAATTCTCCTCTTCTTCGCCATCCTTCCCTTAATCTGTAAGTACCCAAATACCAAACACCACCCACCCCCCCCTTTTTATAGCATCAATCTGATATTTATGTGCATAGATATTGCTTGTAGATCTGGGATTTGGGGTTTTTGATCCAAAAGTCGAGACTTATTCTTTGTTTTGGTTTTTTGATGGGTGATTATTTGGTACTGGATTTGAAATCAGATTTGACTATTCTGGGTGCGATTTAACGTTTTTGTTATGGAGATTAGTTTTGGGTATTGTTTAAATTTGCTGGTGTTATTATGTATGATGCAGTTACAGGGTTACAATTACATCCTTAGAAAAAAAAATATGGGAATTTTATGCATCGGCAATATGTTTCATATTGATATGAAACTAAACTATGTCTGCTTTTTATGATAGATCTGTGCTCATTACATTGACTTGAAGTCAACCCAATTTCTTTAAAATTGTGTTATCCATTTTTTGTTTTCTGATATTGATATTTTCTGCATCATCTTATTACTAAATTTGAATTTGCTGCAGTGTTGTGGCCCCTGCATGTGTATCAGCAGAAGCATCCCCTCAATTTTGTCTTCCTTGGACTTTTCACTCTATGTTTGAGTGTCACAGTGGGTGTTGCCGTTGCTAATACAGATGGTTAGTCTCATGACCCTACATTGTGAATGTTTCAATGATATCTTGCAATCTGCTAATGATTATAGGGTTTATTTTGGTTTCTGCTTTTTCGTACTTATGGAATTTTTAGCTCTTGCAATTACTATTAATGGATTATGTTTGTGCTTGCAGGAGCAATTGTGCTTGAAGCCTTAGTTCTAACCTCGGCTGTGGTTGCATCCTTGACCGCGTACACCTTCTGGGCTTCTAAGAAGGGCAAGGACTTCAGCTTCCTTGGACCAGTCTTGTTTACTGGCCTCATTGTCCTCCTCGTAACCGGGTTCATGCAGGTCGGATGTCTTGCTATAAATTTGTCCAGCTAACCCATTATTATAGTCTGTTCAACGTTACATAACACCATACCCAAAATGCTCCAAGTATTGATCTGACTTTGTGATGTTGTTCTTTTATGCAGATGTTCTTCCCGCTTGGCTCTACAACTAATGCTATTTATGGTGCCATTGGTGCTGTCATCTTCTCTGGGTACATCGTTTATGACACCGACAACCTGATCAAGCGCTTTACTTACGATGAGTACATCTGGGCCTCCATCACCCTTTATCTTGACATTCTCAACCTGTTCCTGACTATATTGCGGATGCTGAGGCAAAGCAACAATTAGTTGTGCCGGCTGACTCAACTCTCTGCAGTCTGGTTTTGGCTGAAAATCAATTTGGACATGGTATATGAGTCCAAGCCTGAACATAATCATTGTGGATGTAGAGTATATGTTTCCTTTTTACTCTCTAAATAGTTCTAACAGCTGGGTGAGCTGTCTTGCACGTTACGTTATGCAAATTTCTTAGTATTATAACTTTTTGCCCAAATTAAGTGTGCTATATCCCACGATTCTGATCTATTCAATTCGTTTTCTGTCTGTGGATTTGGTTGCTCAGCTTGGATTTGTAACACTGCATTTTCTTCTTTGCATTCGCCTAACCCACTACTTGCTGGCAAAGCTAAGCCCTGCTCTGCTCGCTATGAAGTTATCCCACTATCTACCAATAGACAAAGATTAAGCGTTCAATCAAAAAGTGTAAAAGGGAAATTAAAAGGGAAACCGTTAAGTAACTAGGAAAACAAAACAAACCAAATCTTAATCAATAAAGGGGAACCAATGGGGTGTTAGTTGGAGCAAGCTATTGCTCCCGTGGTTGGTTGCTGCTGGTATTTGCACCTTGGTTGTTGTGGTTGTTCTAGTGGTTGTTTGGTTCACAAGGAATTCGGAGCCATACATAACCCCCGAATTCAGCATCAACGGTGCTTATCTTACCCGAGTCAATTACACTGAAACCAACCAAACTCTCTTCTACAACATCACCCTCACAAACCCTAACAAGAAAATCTACTTTGAATTGATTGACACCCAAGTCATTGCATACTATCAAACAAAAGATTTGGTCTTGTGACTTTGATCGATAGGTGGGCAACGTTTCACCAAGACCCCAAGAATACAACCATTTTTCAGAATGCAGTTGTTCAAGGATCGAATAGTATCCTGTTTGAGGAACCCGTGCTTCCCAAGTTTAATGTCGAGTCCCATGCTGACCTTTATGGTATTGACATGGTGATTGCTTTCCGGGAAAAGATTGCTAATATGTCAGGCCAAGTCATGTGCAATCTAAACCTTCCTTTTGAGTTTTAGTGGAGCATCTTGGGATAGTTACAAGCCTACAAAGCGCTACGGAGCTTAAGATGTTAATTAATTTCAATTTTCAACTTGTGCTTAGAATATAATATTGTCAAATTTTTGAGTATCTGATGGATGAACAAATAAGGTGGTCAAACCTTTTGAAGTTGCCTTACTCGATGAAGATTCAACTAAGCAATAAATTTACTTAACAAGGTTGTGTATGACTGATTAGCTTTTTAAATTTCAAAATTGTTTTTATGCTTTTATTTAGTTAGCGAGGCCTTATCTAAGCCCCTTAAATGAGGCCCTATCTCTTAACCCGTGGATCAAATTAAATTCACTATAGACTGACTCCACAGGTACGAACTTGCTTAGACTGCAGCATCTATAATGCTTGATGGCTTGAGGCAGGTATTCATGTGCATAAAGACGGAGCAAAAGATTCACCAGTGTGCTTTTTCTACTACCACTAAAGACCAACCTAAGAAAATTAAAAGGTTTCAAAGTTTTAAGTGCTGAACTTCACCTAGGCCTGAAAGAAGGATTTGTTGTGATACAAAGTCAAACCATGGAAAGAGTTTAACATATGTAACTAGTTAGAAGAATGATTGATGAAGAGGAGCTTAGGTAAAACAACAAAACTTTCTCAAACCAAAACTCAAAATCATGAAGGGTGCAAACAACTCCAGTAGATATATAGAGCAAAGGATACCAATATCAGGCTTCTAATTGAAGTGAACTTATAAAATGTGACATTAACGTGATTGTAATCACTTATACTTCAAAGAACAGATATTTACGTATAACAACCAAATAAACAATTATCTTGAGACCTCTTGTGATCTTCTTGAGACCATAATTTTGTCATGATTTAATAGCAGCATCTTCATCATCTTCAATATCCCAGCTCAAATCCTCCTCTTCCTCTGCCGCACTGAGCCGCTTCTGCAAATCAACTCTGTTAGTGCTGCTCCCCGGAGCATCCCCTTTGTTTTCATCCCCACTTCCAATATCTTCAATCTCATCCCACCCAAGATCCTCTTCCTCAGGCATTGAGGGCTGGCTCGAAACTATCGAAACATCGCTCTCTTTGCAAGAATCACCACCATCTGTCTTCCCCTCCGACACTCCATTCTCGTCAAATTTTGCCTCCGCCTTATCCCCACAGTCACTACTCACCGATTCCCTTGCAGCAATTTCAACACTCTCAACATCATCACTGCCCCTTGCAACTTCAAAAGAAGCTTGCTTTTGCTTCTCCAACTCCACAGACCCACTCGTGCCAACCTTCAACCCCGAACCATTACCCTCTTCCTTCTCCACATCTTCATCATCATCAAAATCCCAACTCAAATCCTCTTCCTCCCCGGAAATTGCTCGATTCACAAGCTTAGCTCTCGCCTCCTCAACTTCCGTCAGCTTATGCACCCTATAAAAGTACCTAACCCAAAACCTCTCATTGTCAACCTTACCAGGCACAATTTCCCCATAAATCTCACCAATCACTCCATTTTCCCTCATCAAATTCTCAACCTCCTCTGCTTTCTCATCCAGAACAAACCCTAATGTCCAACTCCTAAAGCTTTCCAAATCCTCAGGCTCCTCCAAATAAGTATTCATATTACTCTGAATTGCACGCACTTGAGCTTCAAACCTACTGTACTTTCTCAAATCACTACCACTGCTACTCAATCGCTTATTACCACTAATCTCACGATTATCACTAACATTATCATCCAAATTATCAGATTCAACATCATCAGCTAAGATTACGTCCCTACCGTGAGAAATGATCTCCGCCGTCGATTTCCACACAGTGCTCCCGATGTCATCGATTGCCTGACCCACCGACTCCAGCGACTCCTGAGCCACCGACGCACCGACCTCGAGAGAAGCCGGAAGGTCCTTGACGGCGCGTGAAGCCACCTGCCGGATCACCGCCGTCTCCTCCTTCAACCCAGACCCGAACTCCTCGAAATCGCGGCGATAGTTCTGGATAACGGACTCAGATTTCGCCGCCAAAGTCGTGATCAGACCTCCGAAGCTCCACGCCCCGGTACCAGAATTCGGAGGCGGGCTGTGGTCCGATTCCGGTTCCGAGTTCGGGTCGTCATCGTTTTGGGTGTCCGAGTGTGAATCGTCGGAGGGAAGCGGGTCGTCGGAGAAGACGGACTTGAAGAAATCCATCGGCGAGAGAGGAGATTTGGGGGTGTTGGAATTTCGGTGAAACTTGTTTGGGGTTTTAGGGATGAAATTATATCAGGGGAAGAGCCCCGGCGGTACAGGGAGAGCGATATTTGAGAGATTTTTGCTCCGAGGCTTTTTATCGGACTCGGAGTCCGAGATGAACCGGATCTCTCTCGACTTAGCATCAAATAAATATACAAATCTCTAAATAAGCAGCATTGTGACGTCATTTACTTTAATATTTTGAAAGGAAAATGTGAAATGAATATCGTTTTAAATGCTATAATAGGATCCCTAAAGTAGATAGATATTTTTCTATTTTTACAAAGATTTATGATGAAAGTAACGATTTCTATTTTTATACAACCGATATTAGGAAATGGGAGAGTCGAACATAGGACTTCGACTACAGAAAGGGATGCTACTCTTTAACCACTTGAGCTATAAGTCCCTTGTGAAAATAAGGATTTCAAGAATTGCGAATCTAACAATTTCAATAGGAAATGGAAAAATATATAATTAATCAGTATGGTTCATGCCTCTTCAAATTGTCAATTTATGTGTCTTTTACGTGTGCGACATCATGTTTTAAAGTAGATCCATCTAGGATCTGATGTTATTAATCATTAATAATTTCTGTAAGGTGTAAAGTTGTCATTGGCTTATATGTGGACAGCACTTATTATTAACAAACATTTTATTTATTAAGATGCTTAATTCCTACATAACATGAAGGTTAGCATAAGATAACAGCTAAAGGCAAAAACCTCTTTCAAGAGCCTTAAAAAAAGTTGCAAAAAATAAGGGCTAGTTTGGCATTGCTGTGCTTTAAAAAAAAACTGCTTCTGCTGTGCTGTAAAAATAATCGGCTGTGAAAAAAATCAGTTAGGCGTTTGGTAAACTATATTTGAAAAATTGTTGTGAGTAATCAAAATGTTTGGTAAACTTTTATACAGAAGCACTTTGAGTATGTATAATGACCAAAAAAGTCACAAGATATAAAAATTAGTTGAAAATGAGACAAATGTTAATAAAAAAACTTAATAATAAATTGGATATAATATTTTTTTAAAATTTAAAATAGTCTAAAAACACAAAAACGTCTCTACCCCCCAAAAAAAAAAAAAAAAAAAAAACTCCTCTCCTTCCCTGTTAGGAACCAATTCCCCCGTCGCAGACAATCACCAGGCCCCTCCAACAACCCCACCTGACCCGACCTCGATAACATATCACCACACCCAACCCCTTCCCTCACGCCAGTCCCACAGAACAAACCTCACCCAACCACCACCTCTCTCTCTCTCTCGATCTCTCCACCCAAGCCTCCACCGTCTCTCTACTTGAACCCCCACGCCGGCCAAATCCACCAAGCCTTACCCACTGCCCAGATCCACCAAGCCATACCCATTGCCCAAATACAAATCTTAGGGTTTTTTACTCTATTTTTATTCAATTTATTGAAATTTACGAATCAACACATGAAATTCAATTTAATTCAGATTGATTGCTGGTGAAATTGCAGCTGTTATTATCGCTAGCAATAACTAGCCCAACTTGCAGTGAGAAGAAGGAAGAAGAAGAGTGTGCTGGGTGTTGAGGGGAGACGAAACCCATTTTGGAATGGGAGGGATATGGGCTGTCATTTTGGAAAAGTAGTAAGGGTGTTGTGGGAAAAATGAAAATATCATTAAAAGGAACCGGCTGTTTTTTTTAAAAGCAGCTTTGAGAAGCTGGTTCCAACCGACTTTGAAAAACTGCTTTAAATGACCTGAGATTTTAATATAAGCTGACTTTATTTCTTTCACCAAACACTTTCAGTTACAAAAATTATTTTTAAAGCAGCTTATTTTTTAAGCACCGCACTCCCAAACGCCACCTAAGTCAACTAAAAAAGTTCAGAACATCTCCAGGTCATCATGCCTGTACCATGTACGTGTAGAGGAAGTCAATGAGAACTTCTAAGAATCATATTTTCAAAAGATAAATGAGGAAGTCAATCTCACGTTACCAATACCATGTACGTGTAGAATTCTCCAATCTGGAGGTGTTTGATAAATCAAGCAAGGGCAACCATTTTCACATAATTTTTCAGTTCTTTTACAACACGTGTATCAAAAGATTTTTTGTTTTTCTCTTTTAATTCAACAAAGATTACAAGGGCATACATTTCTTGATACACCCAACTCCCTGCTAGTGCATTGAAAGCATTATATTCTATGCATTGCTTTTCCCTTTTCTTGGAAAACTTGTCAGAAGATCATTGCAAAGCATGAAAGTTCAAAAACAGGATTTCAGAACAAACACAGCTAGGAGATGTGAGCTTGTATCAAAAATTAGATAGTTGGGCTACTCTTTCGATTTCCGCAATGATCAGCTCCTTTTCCTCTTCAAATTGCTCATCTTCATCACCTGGTAAAGCACTACAAATCATCAGGGACGAAATCAACGTGAAGTTTTCAATATTTTTGGAAGCACAATTCATTCTTTCACCCGCCAATTCCAGCAAAGAGTTACATGGCCAGAAAAGCAATGAGTTAACCACCTTTGCCAGCAGAGAGATTCTCAAGCAGCTCTCTCAACTTTTCATGGTTTTTAGCCAGGATAACCTTTACTTCCCGTGGCTTATTAGGATTAGCAACAAAGATCTGCATGTAGAACACAGAATAATGAATATGAAAAGTAACAAAAACTAAGTACCATGGAAGGAAACCTAAGCAATATCATTCATTGCTTTCATGAAGTGGACAAATGAGAAGTTATGGCATCAACGTCAGATTGCCAGCCAACACTTTTATAAACTCATGCACACTAAATAATAAGCATCTTGACATTGAGCGCACAATACCCCCCGCTGCATGCTGGTTCAAATAGTAGCCTACACAATGCACTCCATACTCAAATGACATACATAGAAGCACACACATCACACACAGAGAGCAGGAGAAGGAGAAAAAAATGAGGGGAAGAAAGCACCTTAAAGATGTGGAAGGCAGAGATTTGGATGTTTTTGCTTGAATCCTAGTCATATGAAAACAAAAAACAACAGTAAACAACAGGTGAAAAGCACCTAGAAACAACAATAACACAATTCTCAATTTATCAAGTATATACCAAATGCCAAAAGTTGGTCGAATACAATGGTGTGTAACCAATAGCTAAGTATGCACATTTCAAAGTAGCACCCATAGGTTGGTCATATAAAGCAAAGTTCTAAAGAGTAATAACAACAAGAAACTCAATACCTTGAGCAATGTCATCATGACTTTCAAGTACCGAACTTCTAAAATGTAGCGCTTCATTATATGAGAATTTGGAGTCTCCAAAAGGAATTCGGAGAGAAGCTAAATCAATAAACAAATAATCCTTAGCATATCTCATTGATTAAAAGAACATTAGACAACAGAAGTCAAAAAGTTGGATAACCAGAACCGACCTTTAAAGATTGCCTCCTGGTCACATAATTAGGAGATGTCAGGAGTTTTTCATATAGATCAAAGAACTGGAACAACAATTTCTCATCAGATAGCTAAAAACAATATACACTACAAGTCTACCAATACAATAGTGAAGAAAGCTTTCTTCACAGCCTGCACAATGCAGGTGTACAAAATCAGGGTAAAAAACACAAGAACTTAATTTTGTCTCCAAAACAACAGATATTCAGATGGTGAAAGTGCCCTCCCAAGAGCATCTTCGGCAAGCAGATTTTGTAGGTTTAAATTATTCAATCAACATATACATATCAAAAAGTGATGCAGCTATGATTGCCACTGACTGGATTTGTACAGAAAATACAGTAAGATAAAGAGTGAACAAACCTCATCATAGTGAGCAGTCAGAAATTCAGATACCACTGTTCCATGTTTAGTTAGTAGATCCTGCCAAATTCAGAGACAAATGAAATAACAGATAGAGCCTTAAAAGTTCAGCAACACATAGAAAGGTCCAACATCAAAGAAGCTCATGATTCTAACCTTGAAGGTAGAGAACGCATCAGAAGCAACATCAAAGTTAGGCAACTCCACAAATTTAAAAAACAACACAAAGCTCGCAGACTCCAATATGTATCTGAAAAAATACTACAAAAATCAAACGTGTGAAACAAAAGAAACCTGTTTGCTAGCTAGAAGAAAATAGCAACATTCAAAAGTGGAAAAAAGCGCCAACGGGGTCTAGCCAAGTGGTAAAGAGCCTCAACTTGAGGCCAGTGGTCTCAGGTTTGAACCCCCACAGCACCTTGGCACTGGCAGTGTGTGCGTGTGAGAATACCCCCTCCCCCTTCCTAACTTTGGCCAACAAAGAAAAAGAAGTGGAAAAAAGCAAACAAAAGAAGGTAGCAGCTCTATTAGTTTTTCTGAAAATTTCCTTTTTTGCCTTCATTCAAAATCTTCTGTAATGGAAAGTAACAGCAGAGCTCCTTTTACAAGATAGGATCCACTTTAGCAAGATCACTACCGAACAAACAACAATTAGGGGGGAAAGGATGAGAAGTTTGAATGTCTTACTTTGCAAGTGTAGGGAATCTAATGCAATCCCTCAACATATTTCCACAATTCAAGGCAATTTCCTTGTTGTCATAGCTGCTCAAAAAAGAAACCAATAAGTGTCATGCAATACTAATCTATCAGTTAAAAAAGTACAATGACATGTGTAGACCATTAAGAAAATTTCCCATTGGTCATAGCTGCTGGCCAAATTTACACTAAGATGCATGCATGAGTCCATCATTCACTTGAAAGCAATAAAAAGCATCAAAATTTAAGTAAAGAAACTGCAAGTGTCAAAATTAGCAAGAATTTGGACAAGATCACTCCAGTTGCACAAATTGTTTTAAAAACAAAGATTATAATAGTCAAAATTGTGATGAAAAACATATGCACTCACGAAACAGGAAGTATAAGGTTAAGTAGCATCTGATAAACCACTGCTTACTGTAGTTTATTGCAAAGATGAACAACATGATGTCCGTAAGTTCATAATTGTAACATGACAGTAAACGAAGAGCACCAAACTGTGCCAAATGGAGAAAAGTAAAGGATCTATGTTTTAAACATAAGTATTCATGAAAGCATTAAATAACCTTACCACACGACAAGAAAGTCTAGTAACTCCAAATGGTTCTCAATGTATTCTGCGCAGCAATAAGTAGAGTCAACCTTTTGCTTCAATAATATGGACCAACAATGGACCAAATCTTTTCTTGCCTGTATAGAATACACTATATCATCTAGTGCAATCAATGCTTCATTGCCAGACAGTATGATACAAATGACCATAACTTACTTCCCATCCCAGTATAGGTAACTTGTGAATCAGAAGATCAAGAACACCCTCCTTACAAATTTCAAGAGCCAGCTGCGAAACTTGGTCCATATTTGGTTCGGTCTCCCCATCTCCAGAAACCATACACTTCATTGTCCCAAAATTCTTTTCAACTTCTTCCAAAGCCTATAATAAGCAAAGTAGCATCTTATAAAAGAACAAAAAAATTCAAATCATTAACTAAACAAAAGTTTCATAATATAGCCCCTAAAAAAACCATACTAGATTATGAATCTCACAAGTAGTGGTACCACTATAGACAAAGTTGGGGAAATGAAAGCCAGTAAATTTGCATACTCATGCACAATTCGCGACTTGAAAAGCACTTCCAAACTTACAGTTTTGCTTGCACTAATACCATCTAAAACTACCCCATTGGCAATTGCCTGTTGATAAGTGCAAAATGCTGACACAAGCACCCACAAAGCAAAGGCAAGCACACATTTTGCCCCAATAGTATAACAAAATTTGAAAATGTATGGAGGAACAAGAACATTTTCATAGCAAGAACGTGACTTTAGACATTGGAAAGGAAAATTGAGATGAAACATGGAATGAAAGCATGAAATTGGCGATGAAAATAGCGAAAACCCTAGAAGAAAAAAAAAAGAATCCAAGACCTTTTCGAGGGCTTTAACTTCGACGACGGTCTGGGTGTCGAGGGCCATGAGGCTGTCGTTGATGGCCTTCGCCACCTCCTGTGGAGTTTTGGGCCTCGACGGCTTGAAGAACGAGAACGACATGATCGATGCCGATCAATTTCTCTCTCCTCTCAGTCGAAGAATTGACGGAAATACAGCAAAGCTTTGTCGATGACGGTTCAGAAAAAGGCCAATCTTTTTGTCTCAGTGCAGATCCATCATCAACTTGCAGCTTCAATTAACTTTTTTTTTTCAGACAAATACAAATATTTATGGTTTTGCTTTTATGAGATAAAACGCGGGTATGGTAAGATGAAAGTGAAATAATGTCTACCTACTTTAGGAAAAGAATAAAGGAAAAAAAAAAATCTACCTTGTAACCTTAATTTCTAAATTAGGTATAAGTCTGAATAATGAGATAAATAAGTAATTGACATTTCTTATCTAATAATTGACAAATCCTCCTCTTCTATTGAGAGATATGATTGAATAATGTGTTAATGGGACAATAATCTAAACTTCATTGTCCAGTAACTAAAATGTGGTGTGATAGTGAAGGACCCACTAGTGTAGTGGTTTGGAGTAAATACTCCCTCAGAAAAGGATGCGAGTTCGAGTCCTAGTATATGTGTAGCCAGTGTCGAACCTATTAAGGCGCAAGGAGGTGCAGTTGCACCTCCCCTCGCCGGAAAAACCATTGTATTTACTTTCACTTATTTTTATATTACTCCATTTACTTAAGTTTACAATGTAAATAAAGAAGTACCCCATATTTGGATTCAAATAAAAATATTAGAAAATCAAATTCCCACCAAATCAAAATATGAAAAATCAATTTTAGTGCAAAATACAATTTAGGCTAAAAATGATGGCTCATTAAGTCAATATATACTTCATACTAAAATCTCATAAAATCAAGTTTTCTTATTTGATGTGTAAGGAATAAAAGTCGCAAAAAATTATCTTGAGAAAATGATTATCCCAAAAAATCATTTTTCATACTTAGTCAATATTGCACCTCCGCTAAAAAATTTCTGGGTCCGCCAGTGTGTGTAGCAGTGGCGTAACTGATCCCATGCTGACTCCACCCCTGCTTTGTAGTGTGTGTGTGTGTGTGAATTTAGTATGCTATCGCATCTCTCAATAAAAAATGTCATTAAAAAAATTAGGGAGATTCACTATTATACCCAATATATGAGCCCAAATTATTTATAAAAAAAAACCATATATGAAATAGACTTTAGAAATACACCCAAAGTCCATTTACAACATAACAAAAAGTCTTTTAACTTCTTTTAAATTACAAAACTGCCATTGATTTCTTAAAACAAACTCAACCCCAAAACCTCATAAAAAAGCCCAAAACACTCAATAGGGCATCAAAGTAATTTAATAATCAAAATTAAATTCAATAGGGTCAACTATCATTTTTTGGGTTTTTTTTGAGTTTGTTTATAGAAATTAAATGGTGTGGGGTTTATTTATAGTTTTAGTGCTAAGAATGAGTATATAACTAAATATCTCAAAAAATTATGGTATGCTAATTATGATAAATTAAACAAAAGTCCACACTAAGGCGGAAGATAAATTATGAAAACCTTAACCCTTTTTTCACAATGGAGGAATCAAAACCCTTAACCAAACCACCAATAAACTTTTAGTCTAGTACTATTCTCCCCAATGCTTAGAGAATTTATTTTTTACACGTTAATGACTTTTAACCTCCGTTTTTAGAATTTAGAAACACGATCACTTGTGTGCCCCTTAAATAATGCTCAAAATCACTCATGACATGTAAATAAAATAACACTAGAATTCCATGAAGCAATACACAAGACCTTACAAGCCATACTTAAACCACCATCGAGTGATTAAAATTCTCAAGTACATGCTTAAATTCTTCTTCGAGTATAATATATATTCATATTAGCATGTCCAAGAATGGACCCACAGTGAGGTCAATGGAGTCAAATGACCCTATAGACTCCATGGAAATAAGCTTAGAGATCCACTTGAGCTGATTGTGCGACCTCCATGAAGTACCCTTCACCTATTTGATATTTGGCCTGAAGGAATGGCCTACTGCGTTTTTTTTAAACACGCTGGGCAAAATGACTTCGTTTTCGCCCAATGAATTTTTTTTTTTAAATGACCTAGCCAAAACGACGTTGTTTTGGTCCATGTCTTTTAAAAAAAGTAAAACAATCCCCAGCTATTCCAAAACCCCTCCACCCGATCACAGCCACTCCAAAACCCCAATTCTTTTCTTCTCAACCCTAAATCCCCAATCTCCCCACCCCTCTCAAACCTTTAACCCCCATCTCCCCCATTGCCGTTGTTGCCGCAGGAAAAAGCTTGTTGTCGTGTCCACCACCTCACAATTCAAGTAAATTCTAACTCTAAGCCTAAATTAATTGAATTGAATTTGAATTTATTATTTTATTATATTGTTTTGATTTATTGGATGTTTCATTTATAAATTTTTTGTGGTTAATTGGTATAAATTTGGTGTTCTCTTTAATTGATGTGAGTTATTAGTTTGATTAATTTATGTTTGAGTTCGAATGATTCATTTGTAGCTTTTGATAAACAAAAGCTACTTCGTCTTGCTCAATTATCCTCAAGACTTTTCGGATGAGGATCTTTTAGCACTTGAAGATCAACTTGAGCTTTATATCATCATGTGCGTTCGAATAGTGATTTCTCTGAATTGTAAGGGATTGGCGGTCTTGTAAAAACAATGGTGGAGACAAGGATGCATCAAACATTCAATTATGTGTATTTGCTTATTACATTGGCTTTAGTTTTACCAGTTGCAACTGCTTCAATCGAGAAGACATTTTCCGTCATGAATATTATTAAGGGTCCACTTCGGAACAAAATGGGAGATCAATGGTTGAATCATAGCTTGCTTGTTTATGTGTGAGAAGGATGTTTTTGCTTATATTGAAAATGAAGCTATAATGCTACGTTTTCAAAATATGAAATGTCATCATGGACAATTGTAGCTTGTAATGTTGTTTTTGACATGAATTATGAATTAACGCACTATAGTTTCATTTTCAATGTTATTTTAATCTTAAAAAAATTTGGAGCTTTTACACTATGACCCTATGAGATAAGATTCCTGAATCTGTCACCGCATATATCATATCATTTTCATTATCGAGTCAAGAAATGACAAATCCAAACTCACTAACCTTGTATTAGATCAAATTATGTTATAATGTCATGTTCAAAATGCCATTCCTAAAATTGTGATTGCCATAACTAAAATGTGTTAATGGGACAATAATCTTAACTTCATTGTCTAGTAACTAAAATGTGGTGTGATAGTGAAGAATCCACTAGTGTAGTGGTTTGGAGTCAATACTCCCTCAAGAAAGGTCGAGGGTTCGAGTCTTAGCATATGTGTAGCAGTGGCGGAACTGGTCCCATGCCTCCGCCCCTGCTGTGTAGTGTGTATGTGTGTGTGTGTGTATGTGAATTTAGTATGTTATCGTATCTCTCAATAATAATAAAAATGTCATAAAAAAATTATGGTATGCTAATTATCTATATATATAAAGCAAAAGGTAGAAAATGGTGAAACATTCAAAAATTCCGAAAATATCCTTGGTAAACTCAAATTTTAAAATGCACCGATTTTAATTAAAGCAGGTATAATTGTAAAAGAACAATTACGCAGAACTTTAAAAAAAATAAAAAGAAAAGAAAAAAGGTGCAGACCCCACTCCAGAGCAGTTTCTTCTGGCACGTTTTATTGAAAAAGGATGACAGCAAAACTGAAACCGTCCAAAACCCACCATGGCCCTCAGAGCCATTCCAACGAGGGGCTGACTGAGCCCAAGGCTGGGGGGAGAAAAACCAAAAAATCACGTTCCAGCGGTCAGCTGAGGCCCGGGTAGGGTGTGGGGCCCAGCAAGTCGGGCTGGCCCGAAGGCCAGTTCAGCCCCAGGTCCAAAACGAGGGCTGCTGACGTCAGCAACAATTTTTTTTATTAAAAAAATTCAGATTTTTTAAAAATAAATACTTAGTCATATTTTTCACTTCCCACACCAAAAATCTTTTTAAAAATTTTTGTCCAAATTAATTATTGAGGTGAAAAAACAAAAAAATGAATAGTAATTGCCCTTAGCCATGGCAACGGGTGGAAATACAAAATATACTATTTGGGCAACCACTATTCACGTAAATGGGTGGAGTTGCTCTCAAACTTGGAAATGCATTTCCTCCCCTCCCATGTTTCGCAGGCAAGAATCCTTATCTACTCACTGCATAAAAAGGTTTGAGGTTTTTTTTTTTTCTTTCTAGGTTTGTTTCTTCATTTGTGATGTCGAAAATTGAGAAGTAAATCATAAATTGAGTTTGGTTTGTTGTTACAGGGAGGAAGATTGAAGGAAAAAGAACTGGAGCAATCAATATTGGAACCCCCAGTCTTCTCATCAATCTGGTAGTTCATGTCTTTGTGTGGGTGATTTTCTCTTTGCCTGTGTTTATTCCAGAAAATTGGTATAAAATTATGCTATGATTTTGTGTACTTATTTTCGTTTTTTATTTTTGTGAATTTTCAGTATTTGTAAGATGTTGCAGTGTATGAGAGAGTCAAGAAAATTATGGTTTGATGTTGTTAAAACCGATTCGACGTTTACTCAGATTCTAAATCAGACGGTCCATCTCGCATCACCAACCCTCAGTCTCAGGTGATATGACGCCCTGCCTCTGCTTCTTTCATATTTGAACTGTTTCCTCTATAAGGGTTTAGTTAGATTATTCACTTGCATATATTCAGCTTAGCATTCCAAGTGTTTGTTAAAATGCGAAAGTTGATTTTAGTTTGAACGCTTTGTTGGTTGGCTTTATTTTGTATTATCTAATTTAGCTTTGTAAATAAGAATTGGGAAATGAAGAGAAATGAGAAAAGCTTAGTTCTTTATAATAAAACTAATTTCAATGAATGCAACAACCTCATAGTGAGGGTGAAAATGAAATTAGAAGTGAGAACAGTGAAGAGATTTGGTGAAAATTGTAAGATTTTTTAGTGTTGGTGAAATTTTGTCTTTTTAGTTCTTTTTCTTTGTTATATTGACTTTTTGAAGAATAGTTTCATGTATGAGTATGCCATGCTTCAGGATGCCAGGTATGGTCAAGTTTTCATGTGTTTAGGCTTGCACAAAACTCAAGTATTTCTTCCTAGGATTCATGTTATATGGATATTAGCCTCTCACCCTGTGCTTTGCATGCTTGAGGCCTTTTCAACAGAACCAAAGTTTGAGAAAACTGTTGGAATCATTGGAGTGGGGAATAAATTTTAAAACTCAATGGTGCGTGTAAGTTTGATTTCACTATTATGTTTTTGGCCGCCTTTATATTATTGTATGGTTTCTGAGAAAAGGGATCAAATGTGAAAAAAAAACAATTTTTAGTTTTAGTTATCTGATAACCATTTCCCTTTCTCTTTAGTTTTAATCCGTATAGGGCAGGAGTTCCGTTCAGTTTTTTTTAGGCTCTCATCTTCTTCTTCTTCACTTTTTGGGGTCCAGTCATTAGTTCAAGAACTCGGAAGTCCAGAATTGCTTCAATGACTCCGGTTCCATGCTTTCTGTTTAATAATCTTCAATCTGCAGAGCATCAATTCTTTAAATGCTACGAATCTCTCTCTCACACAAAGCTATCCCTAATTTATGTTTGATTGACTGAAACTTTGGCTAGGGTCTAGGTCTGTGTTTATGTTTGTGTTTGTGTTTGTAATTATTTATGTGTTTGACTTATGAAATTAAAAGGTCTTTGGAATTTTATCTCAACAGATGGAATCGCCTCTCACCTCGCACTCTCTGACGCATAAGGGTTCCATAAGAAGCAGAGGAAACTATATTTAAGGTTCATGATTCTTTATTTCGTTATATTTTGTATTTTAAGTTTCCAATCAGCATACATTAGTTTAGTTGGAAGATGATTTTTTCCTATTGGGTTCTCTCAAAAGTTGTCCATTATTATACAATCCCTTTTTTCCCCCAAAATTAGACTTTTTAATATTGGCTTTACTGTAACTAGGTGTTTTGTTATCTGCTGATAATTTGGGCCTCCAAATGTGCCTAACAAAGCCATGGCTTTATTTCTCTACGTACATGTGTTAGTGAGAATCCACGATCTCTATTTTTGTCTTTCTGGAAGACGCAGGTGACAAAGGAAAAAGAAAGCAAGCAAATCACCCCTTGGGATACTTTTGGGTTGTTTCTGACTGGGATTGGGTGTTGGTTTACATTTGTTATTTGTTTACACTATCACTATTAGTTTCTTCTTTCTTTATGTTTATTTTTTGTTAAGCATCCAGGTCATTCTAGATCCAGATTCAGTTTCATATTGATGTAAAGTGTCCAGTTCAGGCATCAACTTCTATTTTTTATGTTACGAATAAGATTATGCTTTGATTTTTTCTTCTTTTTTTCTCAGATGATTATTTTTGATAAAGGAATTAAAAGCAAAATGAGGATCAGAGTTGGAGGGAGTTCAAGAGTAACATGAAAGCAAAACAAAAGGGAAGCATCATGGTGAGTAAACATAGGCACCGATCATGACTTCTTTGAGCAGTGAACCAAAGTTGCTCTTCTTCGTGGACAAGTCCAAAGGTACCTCATTCATACCTTTGTTTTTTGGTTTTTTGTTTCGACTTCGAGTGACATAATTGTCTTTTTTTGCTTTCAGTAATTCAATTGCTTCTGTACATCAAATCCCAATTTCAGTTCAACTGCCAGAATTAGGTTTTTTGAGTTTAGATAAGGTTGCTTTGTGTAATCCCTCTAATTTTACATTTGTATTGTTATGAATTTCTGATTTTAGTTTTGGAATAGATTTATTTATTTATTACCATTTATTGTTTCGTATGAAAGGGTCTTATGCCAATGTACAAGTTTATAACAATACGTTTTGAAGTTTTTGAAGTTCACATTCCATCAGCAGCTAATGCAGATGGGGTTGTGGATTTAATTTATGGGATAATTTGTGTAGCCTGTAATCATTGAGAATGTTTTGTTTATGGCATTTTTTAATGGGTTTTATTTTTCGTTTGGTAGAATGCATTTTATTGTGGTTTCAGTGTTTAGGGTGACAGAGTGGTGGAAATGCAGATGGGGGTGTGGGTATTTTGGCTATGTTAAAAGGAAATTGCAGGTTTATGGTTTGGTTTAAACAATTGTGTGGCTGTGTGTTTGCTTTAGGTGAAGGTGTCGTGATGCAAAGGAAACTATGTTTCTAGGTTTAAATTCTGTGTTTCTATGTACTAATTGGGCGATTTCTCAATGTTTCTATTAGGTTATTTCATATGGATGCTAGAAGGGACATAATTTGCTGTGGTGGCAGTTACACTGTGAGCTTTTCTCATTCTTCCTGTCAAAATTTATATAAACTGTGTAATTTGCTTTCTGAAAACTGCTTTTGTCACTAATGATATTTATATGGATGCTAGAAGTTTTGGTGAAAATTAAAGTTTGTTGAATTCACTGTTTCAAGAATGTCATCTCTCATTTATAGCAGTTGCTGTATCTGGGAATGTCATTTATGTATCTTTCAAGTTGTTGGCTTTGAATAAACCAAACACTTGAAGGGCTAATCTGTTTTAGTATTTGAAGGGCATGGTGAAGCTGATAATAACACATCCATAATGACACACTGCAATAGACTTATTCCGAAACATAAGTCTATTGTTTTAGTATAATTAATATCTTGCTTCAGATTAAGTTTTTTCTTTTTCTTTTCTTTTTTGTAAATCCAGATCCAATTTGCTGCATGAGGCTTCCAAAGAAGATAGCAGCAGGAGGAGGTTAATGTACAAGCAGTAGCTAAAAGGATTTTAATTGTCATGAATTTTTTGTTTTTTGTTTTCATTTTTCAATGGTTGGAATACTAGCTTCAATTACTATATTTTGGTGTAACGAGTTTTGTTTTAAATAAAGACTTATTCAATTGCATCTATTCCAAATTCGGTTCAATGGTTAACTATGATAATTGTTATCAATAAATACAAAGAGGAATTTAAATTAGTTCTTGCATTTGTTTTAAATTCTTTTCAATATAATCAACTATGATAATTGATTTATTTTTATAAAGGTTATCAATGAATACATTACAACATACTAGCCTCCTTGCACGCGCTTCTGCGCGTGCGAGAGGCTGTTTTTTAATCACGCGCGCTACACGTGACTTACATAGTTTTGCAAATATTTTTTCGCGATTGTATTTATATAGATGTCCGTTTCAACAATTTCATATTTTAATTGCGTGCGTCTGATAAATCGTCTTAAAATTTTTCCTTTATTGCCCGTATTTTTCTAGATGTCCATCTCATTAGACTAGCCTCTCTGCACACGCTTCCGCGTGTGCGAGAGACTTTTTTTTAATCATGCGCGCTACGCGTGACTTACAAAGTTTAGTTTTAATTTTTTTGCAATTGTATTTTGCTAGATGCCTATATCAACAATTTTAATTTTTTATCACCCTTATTTTTCTAGATGCCCATCTCAACAATTTTTTTTTTCTTTTATAGCGTGTGAATTGTTGAGACGGGCATCTAAAAAAATAAGGGCGATAAAAAATTAAAATTGTTGATATAGGCATCTAGCAAAATACAATTGCAAAAAAATTAAAACTAAACTTTGTAAGTCACGCATAGCGAGCGAGATTAAAAAAAAGCCTCTTGCACACGCGGAAGTGTGTGCAGAGAGGCTAGTCTAATGAGCTTCAGGAGCTAGGGGGATTCTTTGTGTTTTTTTTTAAAATTAAAAAAAATTCTGTTTGGTGGAATTGAAAATTTTCCTTGTTTTTTCCCATAATTTGAAATACCTTTTATTAGCTTGGGTAAAACGCTTTTTCCTGTTTTTAATTTTTAGTTTGAATTGTCCTTAAAAGTTCTTTTTTTCAATAATTTGGTAACATATGTTGTATTGTATTCATTGATAACCTTTATAAAAATAAATCAATTATCATAGTTGATTATATTGAAAAGAATTTAAAACAAATGCAAGAACTAATTTAAATTCCTCTTTGTATTTATTGATAACAATTATCATAGTTAA